TCTGTTTGAATTACTGTAGCTCTATCCATAGTAAATCTTGAAATCAAGGAGCATAAGTCCTCCAAATTGGGTATTTTTTGAATTGTTATTGCTATTCTCTGTCTTTTGCATTTTCATTAAATTTTGGTGTCAGTTTGTCAGTTACTACAAAAAGATACCCTGCTGGGATTTTAATTGGGATTGCATTGAATCTTGAGGTCAGTTTGGAGACATGGAAAATCTCGACCGTATTGAGTCTACCAATCTAATAATGTTTTTAATGTCTCTATTTAAGTCTTCTTTAATCTTCGTTTTGTGGTTTTTACTATACATGTCCTGCATATCTTTTGTTAATATTACCTCTATTTTATGTAGCGTTTTTTGGGGAATGCTTTAGGACTTTTTGCTTATACAATCACATCACCTGTGAATATAATTCTTTCTTTCCAATCTGGATTTTTTTTTTTTAATTGTGTCTTTTTGCACTCACTAAAACAGTTCTGAATAGAAGTGCTAAGAGTACACATCCTTACCTTCTTCCCAGTGACAGCAGAAAGGATTCTGTATTTCATCATTAAATATATATTAGCTGTAGGTTTTTCAGAGATGGTCTTTATCAGGTTGAAGAAGTTTCCATCTCTTCTTAGGTTCTTGAAAGCTTGTTGTGGATAGGTGAATTTTTCAGATTTTTTCCCCCCTTTTTAAATTGTATTTCCTTTAGTAGAGATGAGATCTCACTATGTTGCCCAGACTGGTCTTGCAACTCCGGGCCTCTGGTGAGCCTCCTGGCTCAGCCTCGCAAAGCACTGAATTTCAGGCATGAGCCACTGTGCCCAGCCAAAATTTTCAGCTTTTTTTTCCAGATATATTGAGATGATCAAATGTGGCTTTTCTCCCTTATTTTATTAACATAATAAATTATTTGAATGCTCATCCAACCTTGTATTTCAGGAATAAACCCTACCTAATCATGATGTATATGTATTTTTATATATTTCTGGGTTTGATTTCCTAGTGTTCTGTTAGTGATTTTTTTGTTAATTATAAGAGAGATTGGTCTATAATTTTCTTTTCTTGTAATGACGATCCGATTTTAGTATCAGGGTAATACTGGCCTCATAAAATAAGGTTGGAATTACCTCTTTTCTGAAGGAGTTTGTTTAGGGATGCTCTTATCTTTAAATGTTGAATATAATTCACCAGTGGAGCCCTTTGGATATAGACTTTTCTTCGTGGGAAGGTTTTTTGTTTGTTTGGTTTGGTTGGATTTTTTTTGTAGAGAAGGGGTTTCACCATGTTCCACAGGCTGGTCTTGAAATCCTGGGCTCAAGCAATCCTCCCACCATGCCTGTGGTTTTCAATCACAAATTCAATTTTTTTTTTCTTTTTTCTTTTTTTTTTTTTTGAGAAGGAGTCTTGCTCTGTCGCCCAGGCTGGAGGACAGTGGTTTGAACTCGGCTCACTGCAACCTCCACCTCCCAGGTTCAGTCTCCTTGCCTCTGCCTCCTAAGTAGCTAGGATTCAGGTACCTACCACCACGTCCAGCTAAGTTTTGTATTTTTAGTAGAGACAGGGTTTCACCATGTTGGCCAGGCTGGTCTCGAACTCCTGACCTCAGGTGATCTGTCTGCCTCGGCCTCCCAAAGTGCTAGGATTACATGTGTGAACCACCGCGCCCAGCCTGTTGATTGGCTTTGGAGACAATGTCTGGCTCTGTCACCCAGGCTGGAATGCAGTGGTGCAATCTCAGCTCACTGCAACCTCTGCCTCCAGGGCTTAAGCCGTCCTCCCACCTCAGCCTCCCAAGTAGCTGGGACTACAGGTACACGCCACCATACCTGGCTAATTTTTTATTTTTATTTTTGTAGAAATGGGGTTTCACCATATTATCCAGGCTGGTCTTGAACTTCTGAGTTCAAGTGATCTGCCTGCCTCGGCGGTCTAAAGTGCATGAGCCTCTGTGCCTGACTCTGTGTGGTTTTTTTATTTTTATTTTTACTTATTTATTCATGTATTTTTTGAGACAGGGTCACCCTCTGTCACCCAGGCTGGGGTGCAGTGATGCAATCTCGCCTCACTGCAACCTCCACCTCCCGGGCTCAAGCCATCCTCCCACTTCAGCCTCTTGATCCTGTCATTCAACTCACTTGAGTAATTGGAACCACAATCACATGCCACCACACCTGGCTAATTTTTGTTATTTTTTTTTATTTTTTTGAGATGGAGTCTCACTCTGTTGCCCAGGCTGGAGTTCGGTGGTGCGATCTTGGCTTACTGCAGCCTCTCTCCCTCCTGGGTTCAAGCAATCCTCCTGCTTCAGCCTCCTGAGTAGCTGGCATTACAGGCATCTGTCGTCATGCCAGGCTAATTTTTGTATTTTTAGTAGCGACACGGTTGAACCATGTTGGCCAGGCTGGTCTTGAACTCTTGAGCTCAAGTGATCCTCTCACTTTGGCCTCCCAAAGTACTGGGGTTATAGGCATGGCCCCTGTGCCCAGCCCCCTGTGTGGGTTTAGTTATAAATTTATTTACACATGTTTTATTTTCCTGTGTATGTTATATCTTGTGAATATCTCGTGCATGCTTAAAGAATGTGCCTTCTGCTCACATTGTTTTTTTTCTCTTTCTCTTTCTTTTCTTTTTTTTTTCTCTTTCTTTTTCTTTTTTTTTTTTTTTTTTCCCCAAGATAGAGTTTCGCCCAGACTGGAGTGCAGTGGTATGATCTCAGCTCACTGCAACCTCTGCCTCCTGGCTTCAAGCAGTTCTCCCTCCTCCTCCCGAGCTGGGATTACAGGCATGCGCCACCATGCCTGGCTAATTTTGTACTTTTAGTAGAGATGGGGTTTGACCAGGCTGGTCTTCAGCTCCTGACCTCAGGTGATCCTTCTGCCTTGCCCTCCCAAAGTGTTGGGATTTCAGGCATGAGCCACCACGCCTGGCCTGCTCACATTGTTTTTTTAAATGTCAGTTGGATCAGGTTTGATTCTTTGTTCAAGTCTTCATGTTTACTGATTTTCGTCACTGGCTCCATTGATTTCGAGAGGGGGAGAGTTGAAATCAACAAAATGGAATGTGGATTTGCCTGGTTTTTTTTTTAGCTGTATCAATTTCTACATTATTTTTTCAGAAGCCCTGTTAATTAGATGCATATGCATTTAGGATTATGTCTTGATGAGTTAACCCCTTTATCATTACTCAATGTTCTCACTTTATCTCTTGTAAATAGTCCTTGTTCTGAAGTCTGCTTTGTCTGAGAGCATTATTAAGTCCTCCCTGGTTTCCATGTTATGAAGGATGTTCACTGTGTAGTAGTTACCATTTTAGCTCACGCATCTTTAGCTGCATTTTTACTTACTTGCCTGAGTCCAGTGAGTCAAAACATTCATAAGCAGAACAACTTACATGAAGCCCAGTTTTATTACCCACAGATGGGCAGCAAGGGACAGGAGAAGCCTAGCATTCTGGTTGCAAATCAGTCCCTCAAGGCTTGGGAAAGCTGCCCAGAGTGGATAGTCTGTGGACCACAGCTAGGGGAGACCCAGAAAGAAGGTTTATGTCCCAAGGGCAACATGATTCACTGGGCTAAAGATTAGAGGACATCCTGTTTGAGGTGGAGGGAGTGACAGGAACAGAAAACTGAGGCTCTTCAACCAGCTCCTCCTTGTCCCCCAGAATGCTTCATTCCCAGCATGTTATACAGTTACACAGAGGTGTGGGGCAGAGCAGGGAACTGGCTTGATCCAAAGCCACCTGAGCATTGCCCCAAATGATGCTATTGTTTGAATGTGTATTCGTTAGCATCTTGTTTGTTTTTTTTTTTCCTTTAACCTCTCTCTATACTTGAAGCAGATTTGTAGATAGCATTTACTTGTTTTTTGTTTTTTTGTTATTTATGTATGTAGGAGTCAAAACCATTAGTGGTATTGACAGGTGAATGCCTGACAGTAATTATTTGGCTTTTATATATATATATCTTCTCCTTGTCTGCTGTGGATGTTGGAATAAAGTTGCCAGGATTGCGGTGATCCATCTCATGATCCTGTCATTTAACTCACTTGTGTTGTGATCTACCATGTGTAATAAGACTTTAAATCCAATGTACATCTTTTTGTGGAGCTGGGCAGTCAAAGAAGTACGAGCCATTCCTAGCACATATTGTCAAACAGGTTTGCATTATGCTTAGGTTTAGAAACTAAACTTCACAGAAAGGGAGATAAATAAATCATATTCACATCTCAAACCCAAAAGCTTGGAAACATTTCATTTGTAGAAAAAGGGAATAAGAGTGTGTGGTGGGTTGAGGCGTGTAATCCCAGCATTCTGGGAGGCTGAGATATGGATTGCTTGAGTCCAGGAGTTTGAGACCATCCTGGACAAATATAGTGAAACTCTGTCTCTACTAAAATCCAAAACAATTAGTGGAGTGTGGTGGCACAGGCCTGTAGTCCCAGCTACTCAGGAGGCTGAGGTGGGAGATTCACCTGAGCCTGAGAGGTGGAGGCTGCAGTGAGCCAAGATCATGTTAAGGCATTCCAGCTTGGGCAACCAGAATGAGACCGTCTCCCGCCAAAAGGAAAAAGAAATAAGGCCAGCACCATGGTTGTGCCTGTAATCCCAGCACTTTGGGAGGCCAAGACAGGAGATCTCAAGCCCAGGAGTTTGAGAGCAGCCGGGCAATATATGAGACCCTGTCTGTTCATAAAAATAAAATTATCTGTAATAGTGGTGCAATTTTGCAATTTTATTGTAATAAATATCATAGGTGTACTTACACAAACCTATATGGTATAGCCTACTGCAATACCCAGGAGAATATGGTACAGCCTGTTATTCCTAGGCTACAAATCTGTACAGCATGTTACTGTACTGAATACTGTAGTGTTCATCTGTAACACAATGGTATTTGTACATCTAAACATATCTAAACCTAGAAAATACAATGTAAAAGATAAAAATAAGGTACGCCTGTATAGAGCACTCCCCAGGAGGGTGCTTGAAGTGACTGGAATTTGTTTCGTGAGTAGGGTAGTGAGTGATGAGGAAGTGAAGGGGGCTCTAGAACATTATGTACTTTTATATGATTGCAGCTCAGTAGGCTTGCTTTATACCAGCATCACCCTAAACACATGAGTAATGCATTGCACTTACAATATTATCAATATTACTTGTTTTCACTAGGTATAGGTATTTTTCAGCTCCATTTTATTTATTTTTATTTATTATTATTATTATTTTTTGAGATGGAGTCTCACTCTCTTGCCCAGGCTGTAGTGCAGTGTGCGATCTCGCCTGTTGCAACCTCTGCCTCCCTGGTTCAAGCAATTCTCCCTCTCTCTCAGCCTCCCGAGTAGCTGGGACTACAGGCACATTCCACTGAACCCTGCGACTTTTGTATTTTTAGTAGAGACAGGGTTTCCCCCATGCTGACCAGGCTGGTCTCGAACTCCTGACCTCAAGTGATCCACCCACCTCAGCTCCTCTAAATTGCTGGGATTACAGGTGTGAGCCACCACACCTGGCCTTCTTCAGCTTCACATATAATTTTATGATACCACTGACATATATGTGATCCATTGTTGGCCAAAAAAATGCTTTTATGCAGTGGCTAAGCGAGGTGGCTCACGCCTGTAATCCCAGTACTTTGGGAGGCTGAGGATGGATGGATCACAGGTCAGAAGATCAAGATCATCCTGACTAACATGGTGAAGCCCCATCTCTACTAAAAATACAGAAAATTAATTTTAAAATTAAAATTAAATACAAAAAATTAACCAGGCATGGTAGCGGGTGCCTGTAGTCCCAGCTACTTGGGAGGCTGAGGCAGGCAATCACTTGAACCAGGTAGGCAGAGGTTGCAGTGAGCCAAGATCGCACCACTGCACTCCAGCCTGGTGACAGAGCGAGACTCTGTCTCAAAAACAAAACAAAACAACAACAACAAAACCCGCCGTGTCATGCAGCTCATGATTGTATTACGATTGTGCAATATGTGTGCTTTGTTTTATTACTGAAAAAAAAGACACACCTGGGGCTTGGGAATGACGTTCTGGTAGAGATGTAAATTTGGGATTTACTAACATTTGGTTTCAATTGTTCCTTATTAGGCAGAGGTATATCCATGACTCAGAATTTATTTGTAGCCTTAGAGATCATACTTTGAGGGAGTCAGTGTAGATGAGATTGTGCTGGTCCTCATTTACCTGATTCAGAAAGAACCAGCTATTGTCATCTGATTTTAGTTGGACAGTACAGGGCTTACTGCCCAGGTTTACCAGCTACCAACCGAGGCTAGATCTGTTCTGTGCATTTACTCATATAAAATCCTTACAACAACTCTGCCTCAGAGTTGTTCTAATGGAAGTGAATATTGAGCACAATAACTAGAACACAGCAAGTTCAATAGGATAACTATCGCCATGATTATCATGTATTACTCTTTACAGAAGACGAAACAGAGGCTCAAAAAGATTGGGATTAGGAGGAGTTACAGAGCAATCGAGCCTGGGCACAGTGGATCACGAGGTCGGGAGTTCGAGACCACCCTGACCAACATCATGAAACCCCGTCTCTACTAAAAATACAAAAATTAGCCGGGCGTGGTGATGCATGCCTGTAATCCCCAGCTACTCAGGAGGCTGAGGCAGGAGAATCGCTTGAACCAGAGAGGCAGAGGTTGCAGTGAGCCAAGATCGCACCATTGTACTCTAGCCTGGGTGACAGAATGAGACTCCGTCTCCAAAAAAAGGAGTTACAGAGCAATCAATGAAGAGGGCTGATCTAGGTCTTGTACAGTTTTAAAGTCTATGCTGTATCTCCATTTTAATACTTACCATGTAGAGTGTGCACATGCATGTCATTAGTGGTTGTGTGACCACAGGCTGGTCATAGCACCCAGTTTCATCTGTAAAATGGGGTAACACTTCATGTTTTATGTAGAATGTCCAGAGTTCTAGCTGTGAAGCTGGAGGCATAATGAAAATTAGGTTTACTCCATCTCTTTCTTTCTCTGAAATGCATTGTGACATCTTTCCAGATTTCAAGTATTAATTCTTTGCCAGTACTGTGTGTTTACAAGAGATCTTCCACGGAGGCTTGTCTTCATTTTGTTCATGGTAGTATTTTCACTAGCTGTAGCTTTGTAACAAAGAACTGTAACAAAGGTGGATATATTAATCTTTCCCTTATAGCTCTTGCTTTTTGTATCTTGCTTAAAAATTTATTCCAATAAATTTTACCCAAGGTCACAAAGATATTCTCTTACATTTTCTTGTGAAAGTCTTATAGTTGTTAATCTACTCAAAATAGTTTTTTTTTTTTTGGATCAAAGTAGGGATCTAATTTCATTCCCCACCCCCAATAATTGTTCCAGCAACATGGAAAGTTCATCCCTTTCCCCACTGATTTCTAGTGAACATCTGATATATATAAAGTGTACATTTATGTAAGCCTTACAAAATATCACACCATTTTAATTGTTATAGCTTTATATATAGTAGGTATTATTAGTTGGGAGGCATGTCCCCTCAGCTTGTCAGAATTCTATGGAAATTTCCTTTGGGATTGTTACTAGAGCTGCATTGAATCTATAGATATGGTTGTGGGAGTATTGCATCTTTACCATCATGAACATGTTTTCTTCATGATTTAGATATTTTAAAATGTTTTTAAATATAGCTTAATATTTTCCTGCACAATAACCTTCACAATCTTTTAAAATTTATTTCTAAGTGCTTAATGCATTTTTGTTGCTATTGTAAAAAAAATTTTTTAATTAAATTTTTGTTTGTTATTTGTTTATACAAATGAAATTGGCCTTGGATTACTTTTGTGTTTGTTCTTTTCATTAAAAATCTATCTGGGAATTTTTTACTGCAGTCTTCCATAGTATAAATTATATGGCATCAAGTTTATATTACAGTTTTAACTCATTTGTTATTATTTATTGTTTTAATAAGCACTACGAAGACTATTGTTTTTTTGTTCAAGGAATAACTATTTACTTGTTAAAAGGAAATGGTGTTTCACAATCTCTGTGGAGATTTTAAACAAAAGGAGCATGTCTCTGTTCTACTTCCAGAAATCCTCATTTTGTAGCTCTAGAGAAAACCTGAGCTGCTTGTTCTTTTGAAAATCTCCCATATGGTTCTGTACATTTCTGTTGGAAAACCACTGCTAGAGAAGTTGCTAAACAGTAAAAGCATTTAGCCCATGCAGATGTGGGGAAGGAGGCATTTCATTTAAAAATTGGCGAAGAATTTATGCATCGCTTAGTATTTCATGTGATGTATAGATAAAATCAGTATATTTACATAGACAATTGTTTTTAAGTGACAGCAGGTATGAATTTAAAAAGAAGGATTGGAAATGAAACTCAAGTCACAGCTAATGGATGTGGGCAAGGTACTAGTATATTTGTATTAAAACTTAGAATATAATTTGTTTTTCCCAGTTGTCATTCATGCCCAGTTTGCAGCCAAGAATGTGCAGAGAGACACATCATAGATAACTTTTTTGTGAAGGACACTACTGGAGGTTCCCCAGCAGTACAGTAGAAAAGTCAAATCAGGTAAGTGTATTACGCCTGAACCTTTGCCAGCTTTTTTTTTTTTTTTTTTTTTTTTGAGACGGAGTCTCAACTCTGTCGCCCAGGCTGGAGTGCAGTTGGTGCACCTCGGCTCACTGCAAGCTCCGCCCCGGGTTCATGCCATTCTGCCTCAGCCTCCCAAGTAGCTGGGACTACAGGCGCCGCCACCACGCTCGGCTAATTTTTGTGTTTTTAGTAGAGATGGGGTTTCACTGTTTTGGCCAGGATGGTCTCGATCTCCTGACCTCGTGATCCTCCTGCCTTGGCCTTCCAAAGTGCTAGGATTACAGGTGTGAGCCACCACACCAGCCTCTTTTTCTTTTTTTTTTTTTAAATTGAGATGGAGTCTTGCACTGTTCCCAGGCTGAGGACAGTGGCACGATCTTGGCTCACTTCCACCTCCTCCCTGCTCCAGTGCTTCTCTCATCTCAGCCTCATGAGTAGCTGGGATTACAGGCGTGCTTCACTATGCCCTGCAAATTTTGTATTTAGTTGACATGGCATTTCACTATGTTGCCATAGTGGTCTCGAACTCTTGACCTCGAGTAATCCACTCACCTCAGCCTCCTCAAGTGTTGGGATTACAGGTGTGAGCTACCATGCCTAGCCTCTTTTGCCAGCTATTGATGAGGCAGCCTAAAATGCTGGAGGTCTTTAAAAGGAGCCAAACATTAGATAATTGATCTATAAAATTATATAACATTTTAAAAGGAATATAAAGAATAAATAATAATTCACCTTAAGAAATTAAAACAGTGAAACAGGGACAATCCAGAAACTCTTGATTGCATACCCACATTCCAGCTCCCTCCAGAGAAACCATTATTCCCCATATTTGACATTATTTCTGTTTCTTTTGTACTTCTACTGTGTATTGACAATGAGATTTTTATATCAAGCCAATTTTTCATTTTTTTTTGTATTTTAATGATAAGCTCTATAATGATACATATGAAAGACTCCATGTCTTTGATCTGTAAAGTTTTTACATTTTTAAGAAAACCGTCTTTTCTACATGGTGTTACTTTGAAAGCTTCATTTATTTTTTGGGGAAGTGGGGTGGTGGTGGTGGTGGTGGTGGTCGTGGTGGTGGTGGTGGTCAGGTCAGTGGTGGTGGTAGTAGTAGTAGCGACAGGGTCTCACTTCTGTCAGCCAGACTGCAGTCTCCAACTCCTGGGCTCAAGTGATTCTCCCACCGTAGCCTCCTGAGTCACTGGGACTTCAGGTTTATGCCACCATGCCCAGCTAACTAAAGCCTCATTTGGTAGCATTGTCCAAGGTGTTGATTTAGGAGATCCAATGGTGTTTTTATTTTCTAACTTCTATAACCCACATGTAGAATATCTCTGTTGGCTTCTTAAATCTAGATGTCAAATCTATCATGCATAATCTATAGTACCTCAGTGGGGTTAGCCATGTTGAGATTAATTCTACAGCTTGTAAGGAGTATAGTGTATTAGTCTACTTTTGGCTCATGATTCATTGATGATTCCTCTAAGCAGTTCCCTTAACTTGGAACAGAAGATCTGGGAAAGAACTAAATCTGGTTAGGGAAAAGCAATTATTAGCTATGTTTTTCAGGACTCTTTAGTTATCACGTGGTTAATTTCTGTACTTTCTGTTGAATTTTTAGTTTTTTTGTTCGGGTAGAGCTACAGAAATTTAAGGTTCACTTTAAATGAACATAGCCACTACTGACTAAAATACCTGCTTTTGTAGTTTGGAAAGTATCCACAGTTCTTCCTGATGTGAACCTTATCAAAAGGCCAAACAGACAGGCTTGCTGGGTGTGGGAGATAAACTTAATTATTTAATTGTGAAACTACCCTTAAAGAAAGAAACATAATTATTTATGAAAGTTACAGTGTTGGAGCACTTAAGTCCTCTGAAAGTTCTCTAAATACAGATGATTTTGTTTCCGCTTTCCATTGTGTCATGTCACTTTGTTTACATGTGACACCTATTGTGTCACATGTAGCTATCCTAGATATCCTAGATATTCATTAGTCATATTCATAGTAGTACATGTGCATGCTCAATCCAGAAAACTAAAAAATACAGTAGCATAAATAATACTCAAATGTAAAGTAGCGTAAATGTCAACCAGGTAGGATATTCGTATGACATGAAATGATGATAATAGGACATGAGAGTTAAAGGGATTCTAATCCAAAGGACAAGTTTAAGAGGCTTCTTTATTACCTCCATGTGATCAATTAGTTTTCAGTACGTTTATGTTTATTTAGTCTGCTTCTGTCACAGAAACATAGTAGGAAGAAGTTAAATCCAGAGATGGAGTCCAATAGACATCCTAAAATGTTGATACTGGGCATGCATGGGTTGGGGTAGAAAATGGTATGAGAGTAGGGGTGCTGCTGGGGGCATTTGGTAAGGATGAGAGTGAGAGGTCATATGGGGATGAATTGAAACCAGGCAGTACTTAGCAAGAGGTAGTGGGAGCTGAATTAGCATGGTAGCAATAAGGAAGTGCCAGTTACCACCCAGAGAGAACTTGATATGCCTGACTGGGTGTGGAAGGTGAGAGATGTTTTACTGCCTGGATGGTGCTCTTCACAGAGATCATGATAAAGAGGGTAGGAGGTAGGTAGGTTTTGAATGTGATTGAGTTTGCATTGCCTGTAAGACTGTGGAAGTAGAGGTGTCATCCATGGTTAGGAGTGGTGCTCTAAAGAGAGTTCATAGCTGAGATTTTGAAAAGTTTTAAAACTTTTTGTTGTAGATAATTTCAAGCATTACCAAAGAAACAGTTGACATAACAAAACGGCCCGTGATCCATCACCTAGATCAATAGCCATCAACTCTTGTTTTGTGCATACTCTGATTACCCCTGAACTACCAGATTACATTGATGTTAATTCCAGCCATTATGTAATGTCATCTTTAATTTTTATTTTATTTTTGGAGACGGAGTTTCGCTCTCCTTGTTGCCCAGGCTGGAGTGCAATGGCGAGGTCTTGGCTCACTGCACCTCAGTCCCCAGGTAGCTGGGATTATAGGCGCCTACCACTACACTTGGCCAATTTTTGTGTTTTTAGTAGAGACAAGCAGCCACCGTGAGCGACTAGACTGATTGCGAACTCCTAAACTCAGGTGATTCACCCACCTCGGCCTCCCAAAGTGCTGGGATTGAGCCACCGCACCCGGCCTCATCTGTAAATATTTTGGCATGTACTTAAATAAAATATTTTTTCTGTAAACATAACTACCATATGAATTTCTATGTAAAAATAAAAGGACCAGCCTGGGCAACATGGTGAAATCCTGTCTGAGCGAATGAATAGATGAACGAACGAACGAACGAACGAACGAACAAGAAAGAAAAGCAAGCAAGCTGGGTGTGGTGGTGTGCACCTGTAGTCCCAGCTAGTTGGGAGGCTGAGGTTGGAGGATCACCTGCACTCAAGGAGATGGAGGCTGCAGTGAGCCATACTGATGCCACTGCACTTCAGCTGCAGACAGAGTGAGACCCTATCTCAAAATAAATAAATAAATAAATAAATTTCAAATGCTTAATGATCTCTTATTATTATCAAATATCTAAGCAGTAATCAAATGGATCTAATTATTACAGGTTTTTTTTTAAACAGTGGTTTGTTTCCATAAGGATCCAACAAGGCCTACACAGTACATTTGGTTGATTTGTCTCAAAACTATCTTTTAATTAATCTCAAGTTACTCCCTTTGCTTTCTCTTGCTTTCCTTTTTCTTCCCATTTAACATTTTCGCTAGATAAACTGGGTTGCATATTCAAAAGAGTTAGTTTTATTCTGAATTTTGCTGATAATTTCCATAAAGTCATTTAACATGCTGATTCTATGTTTTGTGAAACTGTGAATTAAAATGAGACGAGAGGGTTTGTTTAGGTTCTGGTTCCATTGCGGAGAAGGGTAAGAATACTTTGATCCATATGTCCATGTGTATGCTCATCAGGAAGCATGTGGTGTCTGGCTGTCTTTCTTTTTTCTGATGTTAGTGGCCATTAATGATCACTGCCAAGATTGCTTATTTCATGAGGGCTTTGAAAAATAGTGACATTTTAATTCTATTATTCCTCTTTATTTCTTAACTGGAATAGAAAGAGAAAGCTTCCTTCATCAATTCTTTGATTACCCTGACCTACAGTTCATCCAGGAAAGGTCAGTCTAATTTGATTCCTTCCTGTTAGTTGACAATTTTAGAGCAGTGAGTTAATTTTTGTGATTCTTCTCAGAGGTGACTACGAGAGGAGTGTGTGTGTGTGTGTGTGTGTGTGTGTGTGTGTGTTTGTGTGTATATGTGTGTGTCTGTGCCCCTCTGTTTGAGTCTGTAGTAGTCATTGCCTCTCCCTGCTGTTTTTTTCTGTCATTTTCTGTTCTAGACCTTGAAGCATCCATTTCTCCTAGGTGCCTTGATTCCTTTTCATGGGAAATAATATTTGGAGACCACAGTATGGTACGATGGGTGCTCATCATCATTGAGTTGGTCACTCATCTAGGTCCCTTTCAGGAATTATTTAACAGAGACTTTATTTATTTATTTATTTATTTATTTATTTAGAGATGAAGTCTCACTCTTGCCCAGACTAGAGTGCAACCTCCTCCTCCCATGTTCAAGCGGTTCTCCTGCCTCAGCCTCCTGAGTAGCTGGGACTACAGGCGCATTTCACCACGCCTGGCTAATTTTTTGTATTTTTAGTAGAGACAGTGTTTCACCGTGTTGGCCAGGCTGGTCTCAAACTCCTGACCTGACAAGGTCCTGACCACAAGATCTACCCACCTCGGCCTCCCAAAGTGCTGGGATTACAGGTGTGAGCCACCACGCCCGGCAAGAGACCTTATTTATAAAAGAAAGTATAAGTATATATTGACTTTTTTTTTGTATTTTGAGATGGAGTTTTGCTCTGTTGTCCAAGTTGGAGTGCAATGGCGTGATCTCGGTTCACCGCAACCTCCACCTCCTAGGTTCAAGCGATTCTCCTGCCT